GATTATCGTTGGTTGCATGAACGAGGTGTATGCACTCGTCCAGCTTTAGGTATTTACATAGAAACTAACCCTATTTCGCATTATGTACTTCCTTTAAGTTTACCAGTAAATTCTCAGTTTATGCTTGTGATATCAAGGTGTATTTACATACTACTTAATCCGAGGAAAAAACGCCCTGTAACGTAAAAATTCTTTATAATAAGAACGACCAATGATCGACCCGCGATCGCTCAGCGCGAGACTCGGGAAACGAAATTTACTTTTTCTTTTTATCCTGTTAATCTTTTTTTTTCGTGCTTTTAATTTTTGTTTCTCCATTCTCGTGTGTGCTCATTTTTTGGATTTCTTTTTATTTTCTTTTTTTTCTTTTTTTCTTTTTATTCTCGTTATACGCCGCGCTTTGGTCTATCGAGTTAATTTTGGGGCACGTTTGATCGAAAAAATTGTTTTCCTTTATTTTATATTTTTAACGAGACGCAAAATTATTTCTTGACCGCGGCGCGAGATCGTCGAAAGTTTCGATATCTCCGGAGTCTCGCGCGCGAGGCGGGTTCGATTGTAAAATGTAGCTTTGACGATGAATCCTTTAGCGATCTTTTCTTTTCTCGTCCCGGATGGTGAAAAAAGCCTGTTTACCCGGCGGCTTTTCTTGGCGCGTGTCTTTTACGTTCAACGAAGATGACGACGTTAGGCTATACTTTCGTAATTGGCGAACAAAGGGACTTGACGGGAACAAGTTCCTTGAAAAGGGAAAATGAGAGAGACACCAAAACCCGACGTTATTTCATTCTAGATTTAACATAAAAATTAAAATCGATCGATTCCCTTCTTTAGATGGGTTTTTTTTCCTGTCTCCTCTGACTTTTTATAATTTTCATTTCTTTTCTTCTCTTTTTTCCTTTTTTCATTCTCGTGTCCACGGTATTAAATTATAGGGCATTAACGAATTTCTTTGAGAAATTTTGTTGCACCGAAATAGTTCTTCGAAAAAAAAATTTCTTTCTCCGTCAAGAAAACTCGTGAGTAAATATATATCTATATATATTTTTTTTACCAAATCAAATCGTGGAAGAAACAACAAAAGCGGGAGATACTATCAGGTAGTAAGTTACGAGCCGGTAAAGAACGAAAAGTCTCGTCGAGAGTCTCCGAATGGGGGCCAACAACAACAATAACAATAACAACAACAACGCGGTTCGACGTATGTCAAGGGGAGAGGAAAGAGATTATTATATTCGGCACGCTACCATTCGTTTCCGCACTCTACTAGTTCTGCGATTGTCAGTCAAAGAAACGAAGTTGAACGTCTTCTGACAATGAGTCGAATCTTATCGCGCCTCTTTTGTACTTCCGATCCGTTTTAATTTTTAATCAACCCTCTATATACTTATTTATTATTATTTCCGAATAATTACCGTTACCGTCGGCATTGATTTTTCTTTTTCTTTTTTTTCTTTTTGTCGTCTGTTTTTTTTCTCGTTTTTTTTTTGTCCGAAAGAGGGCTCCGTTTATCTTTTATTTTCACTTTTTGTAGGTCTTATTATCATTATCATTATTATTATTATCTCCCGCTTTCGAACATTGTTACGTCCGCGAATAATTATCATTGTAAAATTCAGTTTCGTTATCTCGTCGATTTAGCGCATAAACCGTCAATATTCGTCTTATAATCGAAATTGCCGAAAGAAATCCCATCGAAAGTACGGACGATCCACGATATATTATTTTTTATTTTGTTATTTTTCTTTTTTAAATGACATGAGATTGGAAACTAGATCGAAAGATTTGTTCATCCCGTGATGGTGAAGGTTTAGGTGAAGTAACATGAAAGGTTAAATAGGATTCTAAAGTATGAATGGTCGCCTTTTGAAAAGGTCAAAGGAGGTTGGCTCGAGTTATTTTTTCCTATAGTTCGCTCCATGGTCAAAACGTACGGACTTTTTACGATACACTTTCATCATCCTTTCGTCATCCTCATCTTCGTATTATTTTTTTCTCTCATCCATTTCTCTTCTTATTCGTCTTTATTTTATTCTTTTTCGTTTTTTCTTTTGTTCAATCTCCTTTCTTCCTAAGTATTGCGAGAACGTAACGGTATATTGCAAGTAAAAGTTCGAAACGACGCAAGTGCTTTACGCGTTCAGATATATTACCCGGAAATAAAAAAATATTTCGCTTATAACGATCACAGGACCTCAGATTACCTGAAGCACGTCATTCTAAAATCTCAAACGCTCCGCTTTTTTTTTTTAATCTTCACGCATTCGTTCTCTTCCTTGATGCTCACGAAGCATTCTCATTTGCTCGATTCTAACATTCGCACTACGTGCGCATCCGTGCGTTTACGCGTCGTTTCCAATTTCGTCGCCTCATTCATCGATCTCTTTCACTCGTTCTTTCTTTCGTTATTGCTTCTGTCTCTGTTTCTCTTTCACTCGTAGATTCATACTCATTCTCGCTAACTCTCATTCATTCTCTCTCTTTCTCTCTTTTTCCCAATCATTCTTCGTATTTATACATTTTCTCGGCGAAGATACTTGGAATCGCATAAAATCGCACAGATGCGCTCGCCTCATTCGCACGAAATTTCTCTTTCGCCTAACTATCCTAGTCTCATAGACCCTATATTCATTATTTATAATATTTATATATATAATATATATATAATATTTAGCATTTAGTTTTTTTTTTATTTATCTCTTCATCATCATCTCGAGCGTGCTCGCACACGAAAAACGTTCGTTCGCATTCACGCTCAAATTTTTTTTTTTTTTCATTTTAAAATGTGTGTTTTGCGTGCTTTACTCGGGTGACTTTCTACTCTTTCTCTCTCTCTCTTTCTCTCTCTCTCTTTCACACACTCTCTCTTTCTCGCTCTCTCTCTCTCCCTCTCTTTCTCTCTTTTCGCACCCGTGCACTATTCTTTTCTTTTTTTTTCTTTTTTGTTTCTCTTCGCTTCTTCCATCATACTCTTCATACTCTGTATGTATATATAATATATATAATATAACTGTTTGTAATAATTATATTTTGTTTGTCCGCTTACGAGCTAATAGTTTTCGTGCTATCACGAGCACAAGTTGCGCGCATTTTTTTTCTTCAAGAGTTTACACAGTACGTATGTGTGTATATGTGTGTATATATATATATATGTATGTGTGTGTGTTTATTTATGTGTATCTTACCAGTAACTGTATTTTCAGTATGTGCTTAATGTGTACAGAGTGTGTCCTACCAAATGTCTATACGTGCGTGTGTGGTTATATGCGTGTGATGCGTTCCCCATTTGTCCACGCTATATTAGCGTGTGTATATATATATATATATACGTGTGTGTGTGCCTGTATGTGTGTGTGTGTGTGTGTGAATCTCTGCGTGTGTGTTTATCACTAACGTTCTTTCACACTCGTTTGCATTGTTTTTCGGGAACGCGACACGCTCGTTGAGAAACACGTTCGGCCCTCCTATTTTCTTTCTTCTCTTCACGGAGTTTAATTGTGTGTATGCGTGTATATAATATGTGTGCTTTCACGTAGCCGTAAGCGTGAATTACGATTACGAGGAGAAGGGTTTATCTCTCGCTCGAAAGAGTGCTGCGACCGATCTTCTCATCGTTTTGTCGACGCACGTATACGTGTACGGCGGTTTCACTCCGACTCTATCCATTTTCTTTCTATTTTTCATCTGTGTTTCTGTGTGTATCGCGTGTTATTCGTCTTCTTAAACGTTACAGGAGATTAAGATTAAGGGAACCTTGAGACTGGCTTGTATGTATACATACATACATAGATACATGTACATACATATGTATATAAATATAAATATATATATATATATGTATATATACATATACATATATAATGACCAATGTTCGTGCGGACATTATATATACATGTATATATATATATATATGTATATATAAATATATAAATATACATATAGCTCGGTTGTTGAACCGCGAATCGGACTTGAGGATCACTTGATCATGTGAATTCTCGTTGACCGTCGTTATGGCTCTTGTACTAAAAAAAGTCATATAAGTACCGCGTCACACGTCCTCAAGGCAATACGGAACGCGACCGACTGACGAGGAGTGGTCGTGTTAGTACACACAACGAGGACGAGTCGAACGACTACGGTCTTCCATTCATTCATTATGGCACGTTTCGGGTGACGACACAAGGTCGTAACGGTGGCGACGCGTACCTGTGATCCCAGAGGATCTTAAAGTAGAAGAGGATAGAATTAGTATTATCTTCTATAGTTGCAGAATCTTCTATATTGCAGTACAATCGGTATCATTCGCGATTTGAGAAAAGGGTCGGCGGAAGACGACCCGAGAACGTCCATTTTTTTACACGCGAAAACACCAATAACATAGCACTTTCTGTTTTTCTTCTTTCTATCTTTCTATTTCCATCTCTCTTTCTCTCTCTCTCTCTCTCTCTCTCTTCTCTCTCTCTCTCTCTCTCTCTCTCTCTGTCTCTCTTCTTTTCTGGTGTCGCGTACACGACGTTCTCGATCGAGATCAGTACATTTGTTTTTTTTCTTTTTTTTTTTTTGTTTAGGACCGAAATAGGAACAGCGTGTACGACGCGAGGAACATCGTAAAAGTCGGAGGCAAGCGTCGCCACTGTTACGTCGAATCGACACCGTGCAACGGATTAGCCGTACCTACATCTCTAATATCGTCTCCGATAGATCATTTGAATCGAACGGAGTATCGAGTTTCAATACGGCTAAACAAGTTCGGCTCGTTGATCTCGCGAGATTCGCGAAAACTAACGGAGTTCGGGCCGTGTTTTTCTTGAAAAACAATCGTCCGGTCCGCCTACGAAGTCTTTTATTTCAAACTTCCACGCGCTTTTTCTTTCGTTTATTTTTCATTTTCATACTGCTGAGACGTTGAGCGAATTCGTTGATGACCGCACTTGAACGCACCGCTTTTTACGCGTTTTCAGCATTACCGAGCATGTCTTCTACTTTCCTCTTGACACCTCGATCCTCTTGATGATGTTGCTGATGCTGGTGATGGCCGATGCCGGACGAGCTCTGCTGCTGATGATTATTTAAAGGTGTCAAGCGTTCCGGCGCTTGTTGTTGATGTTGCTGTTGTTGTTGCTGCTGCTGCTGTTGGTTCATACGCTCGACTTGCTGCAGAGCCGTCTGCTCTTGCGTCCAAGGGGTCCACTCGTCTCAGTAGTAACTGAACTTTCATGGTTGCTGATTATTTTGTTGATTGACTACCTGCTGGATGGTAAAACTCAGGGCGCGTGGGTCACCGTGAAGCCTTAGGGCTTGCTCTAATCGTTGCTCCTGTAGGCGTAGAGCTTCCCCTATTACAGACATATGCCAAGACGTTAATTATATTTTTAACAGATATTGTTAGATTATAAGACGGAATCAATAAAGATGATCATTTTTTTAAATAATTTGAAAAAAATCAAATTCGATTAGTTCCCTTCTTTCTTGATTATTCTTAATTCTGGAAACTTACCGAACTCGGGCGACAAGCTGTCTTGTTGTGACATTTGTTGATTCGCGTGATGTCCTGGTATACCGGAAGTTCCGCCACCATTGTGTTGCGTTAGATGATGTCTCACATCTCCCCCAACCGCTGAACTTGCCGCTGCGGCCGCTGCCTGGGACACCTGATTCAAATCGATGATAGAGTTAATATCGTGCGATTAAAGGTGTTTTAACGCGACCACAATACGTGTCTATCTATCGTTAATATATATCTTCGTGCGTAATTCACACGTAGATTAAATTATGATCGAATGTTCTCATTTTATCAATATTTGAATTAAATGTTTATTGTAATACAATAAGGTAATTAGTTAAAGAGGCATTGCTTACCGCTAGCCGAAGGGCAGCTTCAGCTTGAGAACGTAACAAAGCTTCCGCTTGATGCATTCTCAGAGCTTGTTCGGGCCCAGTAGCCTGGACACTTTGTTGTTGAGATCCAGCCGATCCTTGAGCACTGCCGCTCATATCTCCGTTGTTACCCATCCTCATGGCTGCCGCTAACGACGCCATGTCTACGGGCGACAAATTCGGCGACACCGAGTTTTGTAGACCTGCAGAATAAAGAAGATATTGTCGAACTTTAGAATGACGTATTTCTATCATATCATAGGTACGAAGTGTGATCACATTAAAATCGCGGGCAGAAGAAGGGGGACAGAAAATTTGTATGTAATCTTATTCTTTATAAACATGTCTCGTAAAAAGTTGAAAAGCGTCGTTTTAAAATTTCGTTGCATTACAATTCGAAACATGTATCTAAAGTACTTATTTAATATATAGGTGTATACATATATACATATATATATACACACACATATATATATATATATAAATATTTATGTACTGTTTTTTTTCGACGTACATGAATAAGTAGCCAGTGAAAGTTTTATTTCCTTCGAAGGAATATTCGGACTTGTTATATACGAGTCACGGCATCGAGAAAAATGTTCTTACGAAGAAGATAACGATAGAATCTCAGAATATATATATGTTATTTTACATAGATACGTTCGCGTACTCGCCGTGCGCAGTAAACTTTTCGACATAGGGGAACATCGCAATTCGATCGACTACGTTACGTCGTAAGGCAAGTTCGAATCGATCGAATCGCGGATTCTTTGTGGAAAAATTTAGTAGGAGGCGAGAACGTGACGAGGCATAAACCGAAATAAAATGAAATATACGATACGAAGCGTTCGTTGATACGTGTCCTTTATAATACGGCACGTTTAAGAACAGACGAAGCGATTTCGCTTAGACATAGGTTAGTGTTATTAAGCGTCGCTATTAATTACGTTCGATGGCATGAGAGCCAGTAACGTCGACACGACGACAGCGACGCGGAAAAACATCATTGTAAATCAATCTTTATCGGTATAATTGGAACGGAGCTATCGTTTCTCCTCTCCCGGATGGCGTCGTCTCGCGTTGTCCGATAAACTGTAATAACGCCGTCGACGTCCTTGAAGAAAACGCAAAACTATTGCGTTTAAACGCTATACGTATGTATCATATGTAATATGTATGTGCTTTCGCTCGTTCAGTAATAAAAGAACGTTTCGAATGATTCGAAAAGCGAATCCTGTCCGTTTCTTGGAGTTGTTTTCTCACCCGCTGACACGGCGGCGGCCATGACGGCCATGCGTTGTTGTTGCGATTGCATCTCGTCGTGATACTGTTGCGCGGAACCCGGCTGACTGCCCGCTCTCAACATTTCACTCAGCTTGTTACCGCTGGGTCCTGGCGATGCCATGTTGTTGTTGTTGTTATTGTTGTTGTTGTTCAATAGACCGGTGCCTGCGCAGAAATCTACTCTCGTTAGTATGCTCGTTCAAGACCATTTGGCTCTTATATCGCTAATAATTTTTTCATTTTATGAATAAACGAAGCGATCGAGCTCTTTCGACGTATATTAATTCGACGTACAACGATGGGACCGTAGCCGTGTCTCGCATTATAGATTATGCTATTTATGAACGATTACATGTCTTTTAACGTTCATTGAAACTCGTTTAATAAGTGAAATAAAAAAAGGTTGTATTCAATGTAATATGCAATATATATGTATAATGTAATAAATAATTTTAGAAAATGCTTTTAATCGATCAAATTAGAAATAAGGAAACTGCAATACACGGATACGGCTCCGAGCAATGATCGATTCCTTCAGGGCGCAAAACCAATAGTCGGAGCGTACCAGGTTCACTTCCGGCCGACGATAGCCGTCCGTTTCCACTGCTGCTATCGGAGTGGGCCGACGGCGATGGGCACATCGGTGGTTGCTGCAAATTTTGTGGTCCTCCAGATTGACCTCCCAAAACACCTAGCCCCGCACCTGAACGGTATTCGATCAATGAGAATGCATCGTGTACATCGTCTACCACGCATAATAATCATTAAAATTTCATGTTTAAAGAGAATTCGATTCTCGTTTTATACCTAGACTCGAACTCGCGAGAATTTCCCTTTCTCTCCTATCGGCCGCCGCGCGACTCAACACGTATTGCGCCGCGAACTGATGTTTCGGATCCATCCTCATGTGTTCCATATGACTCAACAAACCTGCGATCAAATGCGAACTTATCGTTAGGCTACGCCTTGTTCAATCTTCTTTTTTTTCTTTATTTATTTACTTCTTTCTTTATTTCGAATTTACTTTCGTAAATCGATGGTAAATAAGAAGATATTACATTAATGTGTAAATTCGTTAGCGTGAAGGTCGTATCCGAATTGCCCTTGACTAGAAAAGGATGGAAAAGAAATTGAAACGAAAAGAATTTTACATTTTGTTGTATTTTATCATGAGATCGATTGGGCTTTCGGAACGCTTATCAACGCTGACGGTATACATTTTTTTCTTTGAAATAAAGATGCACTTACCGCTCTCGTGAGTGAAGACCGCTTGACACACCGAGCACGGCCACATTCTGAGGCTCGTGCTAAGTTGACTGGTCTCAGGATGGCAGGCTAGATGCTTCCTAAGGCTACCCTCGTTGACGTAGTGTTTTCCGCACACCGGGCACGGGTGGTTGGCCGTCCGTCGCTTCGCTAGGTAAACCCCGGCAACGGAGGTTGTGCAGTCAGCGGAGGGAACAATAGGGCGAGACAATTTCAAGGTCAATGCCAAGCAGGATAAAGCGTCCCAAGGAACGAAAGCATCATCATCATCATCATCACCATCATCTCATAATCATTATCACCACCATCATCATCATTATCATCATCATCATCATCATCATCATCATCATCATCATCATTATCATTATCATTATCATTATCATTATCATTATCATTATCATTATCATCATCATCATCATTATTATAATCATTATCATCATGATCAACATCATTCTCATCATCGCATCAATTCATTGTCGTCATCGTCATCATTGATATCGCTATGAATCATCACGCGTATTTATATACATATCTCTTTCTCCGTTTCCTCGATCGTTCATCTCGACATCATGTTCTTTCGATAGTTCGCTAACGTCAGCCAACGTGGCCGCGGTCGACTTTATTCCTTCTTCTCTCTCTCTCCTTCATCCCATCTCATCCTCACGCACTCACGTGCACGCGCGTGCACGCACGGCGCTTACGTACGCGTTCCGGGCGACCTCGAAGGCGAAGGGATAGTCCTTGCAGACGCGAATGTCCAAGGATCAGGAGAGCACTGACCTCGGACACGTTGCTCGCTGCCTACCCGTTGAGAATCCCTTTCACGAGCGAGGTCGTCGGACCAAAATCCAAGAAACGCGGACGCGCGCGCGCACGCGAACGCGCATGCGCTCCGATCAAACGACGCGAACGCGCAGAGAAAGTCATTAAGATTCCCGTATTTCTTTTTTTTCTTTTCTTTTCTTTTCTTTTATTTAATCTTTTCCTTTCTTATTTTTTCCTTTCTTTAATTTCTTTTTTTTTTTTTTTTTTACAGCATTCCTCTCCTTCTTCCTCGGATTATATTTTGAATCGATGATGGAAAAATTTGAAAAAATTTCGTTTCGATGATAATTTATTTACTCTTTTTTTTCTTTTTCTCTTTTACTTATACTATTTATTTCTTTTGTTTTCTCTCTTTCTGAATACTTTCCGTGCGCGTTCGCGATATACAAAGCACTAACGGACACACAAAAAGGCGCGCATAGAGGTCGAACGAGACACCCTCGAAGCACCGAAAGAAGACATGTGTTTGTATATTAGTTAAGAACCCAAATATTAGTCGGTGAGTGTGCCAAGTGCTACACCCCTCTTCTGCCCAGCGAAATATTACGAAGAAATGACAGGACAACGTATGCATAATTTGCCCGCGCCAAAAGCAATTCCTTTCAGGGGGTGGGGGATAATATGAGGCGTACTTAAAGGCTAAAGACGAACCACCCCTCGTGTCTCGACGAGTGGTTGCTTTACCTCTCTCTTAGCCTTACTTACGGTTTTACGACATCGTTACACGTATATATATATATATATATTCACTTTTGTCTCTCTCTTTCTCTTTTTTCCTCCTTTTTACTACTATTATCTCTTTCTCGCTTTTCTCTCTCTCTCTCCCTCTCTCTCTCTCTCTTTCTTTCTTTCTTTCTTTTTCTCTTTTTCTCTCTTTCCCTTTTTTTTTCTCTCTTTCTCTCTCTCTTTCTCTTTCTCTTTGTCTCTCTATCCCTTCTTCTACCTTTTGACAGTTTTCCACCCCGAAATCGCGTAAGATAAGGTTAGAAGCATCCCTACAAATACCCAACCGAATTGATCGCAGTGTACGCGAAGGAACGAATCTATGAATTTGAATAAATATCGGTGAATATATGAAGTTAAATTCAAAAAGATAAGAAAAAAAAAAGAAAAGGAAAAAAAAAGTAATAAAAAAAGAAAAAAGAGAGAAAGAAAGAAAAAATAAAACAACAACAAATTCGTTCCTATCGCGGTCAGTGCGAAATGATAGAGTAGACAGGAAAACGTAGTACGTATATACGAGGAAATAACAGTAAAGAGACGTGCGTGTAGAATAGAAAATATGGAATTGTAGTAAAGAGGTCAAATAATTGGGGTGGAACCCGAGGCCTAAAAGGTAGAAGAAAACGACTAGGAGGCAATTAATGAGTAAAATATGAGGGAGAAATAGAGAGACGTAAAGTGAGACGCCATAATCTCGACATTGTTTGTCTGTCGCGTCGTTTCGATACTTACTGGCAACGCCGGAGGCATTTGGATCCTTGTGGGTGTGCTTCATGTGCTCCATCAGAGCTTCGCCACCGAGGAAGAGTTTGTGGCAGACAGGACAGCTGGTTGCGTTCGGGCCGCCGATCAGGGCGGCGTGTTGCTGGAACACAACACGCTGTTGCAACTCCTTTTTTGGGGGGCCGGAAGAAGAAGAACCGGAAGCAGGCACACGCGGCACACCCGGTAGAGAGCCGACCCAGAGAATACCACCACAGAGTTGCGAACCAGAAGCGCAGGACAGGCAGGGCACAGAACAGAACGATTACCGGTAAGAGTTAAGGCACCAATTAACCACCCCCATCACCACAATAGTCGCACCATCACCATCGCGCTATATCTAAGGCTTTGCGAGAAAGTTCGAGTGTCTGGTTTCTAATTGCAATAATATCTTACTGTATATTTAGTATACAGATCATCGTATTACAGATATTTTTATTTTGATAAAGATCGTACGTCCTATGTCGTGTCTTAGGAGAACGTAAAGGAGAACGAATAATAGCCGGACCAACGATTTACCGTTACTTGGTAGTACTCACTCGCCGCGAGGAAGATTCTCCGTTTTCCGTCTGATCGTAATTACGTGGCATTCGTAAAGCTGATTTTATGGTAATTTTTTTAGAATCGAATAATTTCTTTCTTGATTTAAAAATAATATTACACAATGATTCTTTTTTTTTTCCTTTTTTTTCTTCTTCCTACGATATTATGCCCTATGTGGCGTAATTTGTGTTACTATTATTTCTCGCGAAAGGAAAAGAACGCGATTTGAGAAGTTAAGAAAAGTAAGTTATTACAAAAGCAGACTCTGAATCAAAATTATTACTGCAATATCAGACAGTCGAACGTTAACGAAGCGTAGGGGCTTGGAGAACGATCGGAGTATGGCTCCATTCGTAATCAGGACTTTTATCTAATCTCTTTGCTATTATTCGTCTTCGATGTGCACGTGCATTTATAATTATAATATACACATATATGTCTATGTATGGTAGTCAATACGGAAATTGCGAAAACAAAGGAACCACTCTTGTCGACGGTGACGCTCCGATCGACCTCACTGAACCTCACCGATGAACGGTATGGATGGAAAAAAATGTTAAACTCTAACACCTACGATTTATCAATAATTTTCTATCAACATGACCATCGTCAGAATGTCGCAAGTATCACACAACCTTCATCTGGAAGATCTATTTTTACCGTTTATATTCTTATCTACTCGCCAAACTATTATCGCGGCTTCTCACGATGGGCCATGTTATTAATTTATTATTAATAACATTAATGACAAAATTAATGAAATTCGACGTCCTCACTATCAGGCAATGCATTTCTTATACGCGGCCTCGTATTAAAGAAACGGTTTCGCGGTAGTATCATTCTTATTTTCCCCCTCTTTTCTCATCTCTTTCTATATTTCTCTCTCTCTTTCTCTCTCTCTTTCTCTCTCTCTCTCTCTCTCTCTTTCTTTCTCTTGCATATACGAAGGTCAGTTACACTCACACGAGGCGGTAGGGGGGTACGCGCCCGAGGAAAAACATGGCGGCCAACCTTGTACGAAAGACTGCTTAAAGCGGAGGGAGAAAAGAGAAAGAAGAAGAAGAAGAATAACGCAGCCAAAGGAGGAGGCGGACAGGAAAGGCTAAAACGAGACAAGACGGCAATGACCCGAAACTTTTGGTGGAGTCTTACCATCTCGTTTCTTTTTTCCTTCCTTCCTTCCTTCCTTTCATCCATCTATCCACCCATCCTTTCTTTATTTCTTTTTTTCTTTCTTTCCTTTCTTCCTTCCTTCTTTCCTTCCTTCCTTCCTTCCTTCCTTCCTTCCTTCCTACCTTCTTTCCTTCCTTCTTTCCTTCCTTTTTCTAACATATAATTCTTCATTGTTTTTATCTTTATAAAAGACTTTTTTTCAAAAAAAAAAGTCTATTCCCTATCTTCACTACATTCTCGGGTAATATTTAGAAAGAAAAATACAGATTATTTATCCGATAAAACGAATATGAAGAATTTTTGGATCGTAGAAATGATGAGAAGATCGAACTAATTTTAAAATATAATCCTCGACAGGAGATTCCATTAGTTAAGTGAGAAAATGTGATTATGTTCTCTCTGACTTATGCTAATTCGGTAATACAACACGACAATGATTATCACTTTAATTTTTATCGATTTAAGAAGATATATTCGATTGTGATTCGTAATTGTCGTTAATTCGAAGAAAATTGAATATAGTTAGGTACTTGGATATATATATATATATATATATATATATATATATATATATATATATAAGGAATGTGATATACATATGTATTATCGTAAGAATTCGTTTAGAATGCGAAACGAAAGGGACCACATCTGTGGTTAGGTAGTAAGATCCGTCGGACCGTGTTTTCGATCCCGGACCTAGGTTAAACCCGGACGAACAAGTGGATGAGAAGAAAAGAAGTAAGAGGTCGATGCCAGGAGCATCTAAAACGGGACCGAACGGCAATGACCTTAATGTTTCGGGGGCCTCCTTTCTTTTTCATCTCTTAGAGCTGTCCTTTTTATCCCTCTCTCCCTCCCTCCCTCCCACTCCCTCTCAATTCTTTTCATTTTATTTTCATCGTCGTCGTCGTCGTCGTCGTCTCCTCCTCCTCCTCCTCCTCCTCCTCTTCCTCATCCTTCAACAGTTTAATCTTTTTTCAGTACGTTCTTCGGCGAGTCTTCTTGTCTCCTTTCTTTCTTTTTTTTTCCCGGACCTAAGGCAACTTCTATCGTCTTGTGAAGGAGACGAGAGAAAGAGAGAAAGAAAAGGATGACGAAGAAGAGGAAGAGGAGGAAGAGAAAGAGGAAAAAGGAGGAGAAGAAGAAGAAGAAGAAGAAGAAGAAGAAGAAGAAGAAGAAGAAGAAGAAAGAGGAGGAGGAGGAGGAGGAGGAGGAGGACTACTGCGACGCTGGCCACCGCCGCCGCCGCCGCCGACGCTGGAGCTGCCGCATGCAAGTTATTCTCGGAGGGAGGCTGCGGTCCGTAGGTTCGACGCCCCGACCTGGCCCAACTGGAAAAAACCGGTTTCTTCGCTCGTGCTCTTCCTTTTTTGCCTGCATCCTCGCTTTTTGCGCCGCTCTCGAGTGCCTCGACTTCTATCTTTTTCTCTCTCTCTCTCTTTTCCTCCCACCCTTCCTCCTCTTCCCCCTCTCTCTCTCTCTTTCTCTCTTCTGCCATTTCTTTCTCCTCTTCTTCTTCTTCTCCGTTCCTGCCACACAGCATCTCGCCTCTCTTCATCCTTTTCTTTCGATTCCACTTCATCCTCCGTCCCACACCTCCTTCTCAAGACTGCCTTTTTCTTTTTCCTCCTCTTCTTCTTCTTCTTATCCTCCTCCTCCTCTTCCTCCTGCTCCTCCTCTTCCTCCTCTTCTTCCTTCTTCTGCGAGATCTCGCTTCATCGTTCTTTTCCAGCATCAGACTGAGCGAAGCCCAACGTAGCGTGGGCGAATACTCCGAAGGAGTTTATGATTCGCCGTGACCAGATTCATCTTTCTCTTTCTCTATCTTTCTATATCTTTCTCTCCCGGGCAATTTCTTGACTGGCCGTTCTGTTAAACCGAAACTAGTATCTCTAATTCAATAGTTAACCGGGGCCGCCTTACAATTTCTCCTTTTGGAATCGATGAAATCAAGTGTCCTCCTTGGTATAAATTTCACAGTGACCGTGTCATAAAACTCGAAGGAAGTTTTCAGCTCAACAACTCGACGATTTTGCTCGGTAATAATTTATCATCTTTTTTCTCTATCTATCTCTCTCTCTCTCTCTCTCTCTCTCTCTCTTTCTCTTTCTTTTTCTCTTTCTCTCTCTCTCTCTCTTTCTCTCTCTCTCTCTCTCTTCTTTTCTCGTTCTCGTTCAATTATTCTTTTTGAATTATCGAGTTTCCGTTCGTACAGACGAGAAAGATTTCGTTCAAAGATTATCGCTTCGCTTCGAATTCTTTGAGGCCCGATGCCTAGGGGTCCGGGCCAGGGAGTGGCATAAAAAGGAAGTGGGTGTGAGCACACGCGTAGCGGTGCGTGACGCTTAGCTCGATGTAGCCATTTTGTGTTCCGTGTAGAAGGGACCGTCTTTGATCAACCGGTTGCGTTTTTTTTTCTTTTCTTTTCTTTTCTTTTCTTTTCTTTTCTTTTCTTTTTCTTCATCTTTTCCTTTTTCTTTTTCTTTTTATTTATTTAAAACTTTGCGACACCTTCGGATCATCGAAAAAAGATAAACCCTCAATTTCTTCTTATCGCTACAGACAACACGACATCTGTCTCGGCTATTCCAGTTTCATTCGCTTCTCATTTGCTTTATCTTTTCTATTCTTTTTCTTCTTCTTTTTCTTTCACTCTGCCTTTCTTTTCCCCCTTAGTATATCGATCGATTCTTTTTTCCTTTTCTTTTCTTTTTTTACACTCGCATCAAACGCGTTACTTATTTTATTATTACTTTTATATCATTGGAATTATTATTATCATCAGGAAGCGTAGGAAAAAATATAAACTCGTCGAATTTATATGGCGTACAATCGTTTTAATGGCAACGAGCGCGATTGCGCTGTGTCACGTTTCATGTCAAAAATTGTCAGAGCATCGGGGAGCGTTGCGCAATTGACGGTGCGCAATCGTTTCTATCGACGTGTGTTAAAACAAGTCCTATATTAAATCGTTGCTTTGGAATGTTTCGATGAGATTTCATTGGAACGAGCGTTATCACGACGTTTCTCGCTTTTCGAAAATATATTATCAAAAATACTTGAGCGGTTAAGACAATATGGGAATTATTTCTTTTTCTTTTTTTTTCTTTTTTTTTTCATTTTTTTCTTTTCAATTTGTAAAGCTTCCACGACGTTTAATTAAGCCGGATAGAAATGAAATTACGTTGGCAAATCCGACGTGGGTATACTACGATGTAGTTGGGTGAATAAGTAATTGAACGAAAAAAAAAAGGAAAAAGAAAAAAAAGAAAAGAATTAAAAAAAAAAGAAATTATAGAAAAAAGGGAACGAAAAGTAGTGATGAGAAATAATAAAAATCGAAACTCAAGTTGAGTCAATTCGCGGCGATTCTCTTTTCATCGGACGCACCGATAAAGAGCCAAGGCCGTTCTC